ATTCACGTTGAGCAGATTTTTGCCAACAAAGACTACAAATTTTATGATCTTGGAATCATGCTACTACCAGAAAGGTGGCCAAAGATGTTGGATCAGAATGGCCAATATCTAATTTAATTAAATATATATTCATTATACAAAGATCGTGTTTCATTTTCACCACAAAAAACAAAATTACTTTTCATGAAGCCGATATATTCTTTTATTCATAAATTTGCAAATCATGTTTAAAATAAGCTACAAAAAACGTAACCAGAGGCACCACTTATTGAACCAGATGAAACATCTGTAACATTACATTACTACTATTACTTTAATTCGTTACGCTTGCTGAATTGTAATGTGGCTAAATTAAAGATTTGCCCTGCATGTCAGATGCATCCCTAGCCCAACATTTTTTGTTTTGTTGTAATATAAAATAAGGGTTTTATTAGGTGAAAGTAAATATGGTTGAGAAAAAGGAAAAAATAGGGGTACAAATATTTCACCTACAACGTGCCCCTGACTTTCACCTACGGCGATTCTCTGACTTAACCAAGAAGAGTCTAACTGAGAGGACTCACCTCAGAAACAAGTCAATGATAAAATTAATCATAAAGCTAAATTAAAATAAATAAGATTAAGAAAAATAAGATAGAATAACAATGGTTATAATACCCATGATAATATTTATAATATTAATGAAAATAATAATATCCATGGTCATATAATTGCTTGCTCCACAGTTTCTTTTTGAATCATTTTATTAATCATAAAAAAGTGTTTCAAAAAGATTTTGCTGACCAAGCTATTATGTATGTAGGTATTATTATTGTTATTATTTATTAATTTATTAATTATTTTTGATAATAATTCGTCATACGCCATCTATTGTTATCAAAACACTTTATAACCGTTTTAAGTATGCCATCTATTTGCCCTTTGTCATAATCAGTAAGCAGTTACGTTATTCATGTCGTTAATTTCCTGTAATAAGAGAGCTTGCATTTTATCAATATTTTTAATAGTTTCACTGTTTACTTATATATTTCATTATCTTGAACGTTTTGTATTTTATTTGGAATTTTTTGGCCTATAAAAGATTTTTCATTATATTATTCACTCTGATTGATTGACATTTTTCATTATATTATTCACTTTGATTGATTGACATTTTTCAGAAGTTTGAACTGTGATTAAACACTTTGTTGAACAAATAACTTTCCAACTCTCATCTGAAATTATTTAATGGAACAATCTGCTTTAATGTTGCCGGAAAATCATTCTATATTTTGAACTTGCACACTTCTGCCACCCAATTTTGTCTTACTTTTTTTTAGTTTTTATTATTGCTGCTCTGACATACGCAGAACCACTTACAATGTTGCATATATAGGTTATGTTCTTCATATCTTCAACCATTGATTTGAAGCATTCATCTTCGCCACAAAGGCTGTTTATCCTTTTCACACGACGCATACATGTATTTATGTACACGCGTAAGCACTGCATCATATACGCTGAGTATATGATAGCCATTGAGAAGTTTGACTCAGCGCGCATTTGAACCACCGAGCCACCTCACCGGCCAACATGCGACAACTTACGTCGTCTACCCATTTACCAGCCTCGAAAGGATGGACGGCTGGATGAACCTGTAGAAACTGCAGAATTCGAACCCGGGTCGTGGGAGTGGTAGACGGACACGCTAACCACTCGGCTTTTCCGAACTACCATCATTTCCGGTGAAACCAAACGCAGTCCACGACCTTCATCTCTTCGGTTCTCATTATTCAAAAACCAAATTGTGACCGAACGTCGCCACCAAATGCGAAGTTGTTTGTAGTTTTTTAAGCAGTTATTTCTTGTTGGTCACCATCTTTGTCACAATCTTCATGCCTCGTTTTTGATAAGAAGGTTCTTTGTAATGACGCATTAGTTTCACACAAGTTTCTCTTCAGTCTCATTGATGTTTGACTTATTCAGCATTTTAACACACACACTCACGCACACACACATACACACGCTCTCACACATGTATATTGCAAATAATATATTATATAATATATTGTATATTGTAACTATTTATAGAATTAAAGTTAACTTGATAGTTTTTTGTCCCAGTTAATAATTTAATCCTTTACTTTTTCAACAGACTCAGCATTATTCTTCCTTTGATTATTTTCTTCATTGCTGGTTTCGTTCTTGGGCTGGTTGTCTTAAAGTCAGTTGGCAGCATATTTGTAACATTTTTCTTTTATACTTTATAATTTATCGTTATTATTTTTATTTGTATCTTTCCAATTCAATTTTATGTACAGTGGTACTTCGGCATGCGATCGGAACTGGTTTCTGATCGGCTTGTATCGTCCCAAACTATTATTTCCATAAGAGATGTAACGTGAAAATGATTAATCTGCTTAACAAGAAACTTACATTTGACTTTACGTCCACATTAATGGGTGCATGAATCAATCAATCTTTGTTTAGCGTCCAGAGACGCGGTTCTCCGAGGTAGGACGTTGTTTTCTTTGCCATCAATTTTTTGCGCCTAATTAGGCGATCAGTTGTATCCATTTCATTTAAATTTAGAACTTTCATGTCTTGCTCGATTGTTTGCGACCAGGACTTCTTTGGACGGCCTTTGGGACGTGTGCCAGGTACTTCAACATCTGCAAGAGAAGTTATGGCACTGTTTCTACTTCGTTTGACATGACCAAACCACCGCAGACGGACGGTGTTGCCGGCATTCGTCCTTTATGTCATCTAAACCAGCACGACGCAGGATTTCGGTTGATTTGATGTGATCCTTCAGACTAATTCGTTGCATCCATAGGAGCATTTTCATATCGGTTCGTTGAAGTTGTTGTTCCAGTTTGGTTGTCATTGGCCATGTTTCTGCACCATATAACAACACAGGACGTATCACAGATTTATTAAGTGTTGATCGTAGTGGTAGTGGGATATCACACCGAATCAATATAGAAGCAAGGAGATGCTATTTATTCCAGGCTGCACGTATGCGTGCTCGAACGGCAGCTTCAGCTGTTCCATTACAATCCAGAACATCCCCTAGATGTTGAAACGATGTGACTTTCTCTATTTTAATGGCTTCAAAAACAGTGCTATTTCGAATTTGTTGTTGTGGATTGATGCAAGCGGGACAAACAAAATTGGACACTTTAGATAAATTACTAATTATTTTTAAACAACGTTTGTGACACCACTGGTTACACTGCTGACACTTGATTGAATTGTTACCTACACCAGCTTTACAAACTGAACAGGGCCATCGTCCAGTAGCTGTGGATTGGATGGGTTCATCAGTGTTCATTGCTTTGGTTTTGCTGATGTTGACTTTGAATCCTTGATTGGCGAGTTTGGTGTTCCAATCTTCAAACATCTGTGCTGCATTCTGCTTAGACGTGGCTGTTAAAACGATATATCAGCATATACTAGATTCCAAATGTCACCAGTGCGTATCAGTTTTGTGATTTCTTCCATCACAGTTATAAATAACAGTGGACTGAGAATCGAGCCTTGGTGAACTCCAACGCCGATGTCAAATGCATCTGTGTTTCCAACCGTTGTGCTGACAAGAGTCTTAGAATTCGTATACATTTCCATCACAAGTCGAACAAGATATTCTGGAATGAGTTGTCGACGTAGACTCCACCTGATTGCTTCACGGGGAACTTGATCAAATGCTTTTTCAAGGTCTACAAAAATGTGTGATAGTTGTTGATGCTTTGCGAGGTACTTCTCTTGCAGTTGCCGAAGGATGTGAATTGTATCAATTGTTGATTTCCCCGATTGGAAACCAAATTGATAATTTCCGATTGTGATGCACGACGTTAATCTTCTCTCTATGACTTTTTCGACAATTTTCAGGGAGTGTTCTAAAAATGAATCAGAAAAATTTATAACAAATTATAATGTTATAATGGGTATAATAAAAGGAAAAAACTCATTAATAATATGTATAATGTAAATTAAATTTTTACAAATGATGTTAAATTTTGCAAAAGAAAATTCTGGTGATTTTAGGTCCACCTCGTTTTTCACTAGTTTGTTCTTAACTCTTAAGAAAACTCTTTCTGAAAAAAATTCGGATTTCTTATAACTCTTGCAAAGAAAGTGCTGTGTGTAGTTTTATGTTGAACATGGCTTGCGTACTGAGCGAAAATTCTTGAGTCCATAGAGATTATATTTTGATTAGAAGATACGACAGGGCAGTTGCATGCTGAGGTACCATTGTATTCCAATGAACGTTCGAGTTCTACAATTTATGGGCATGTATCTATGGTACAATTTAAGACTTATTTGTTGATGATTTGTTGGATGATAATGCATCAATTAATTTATTTATATAATTTATTAATTATATAATTAATTAATATAATGCATCAATTAATTAATTTGTTCAATCCGTCAAGGCCTGATTCTCTGTGTCCCAACTTTCTTTGGATCTATTGTAGAGAGGATAAGGTCTGTGTCTCATATGCTTTCATAAAAATTTTTTTTTCAATTCATATAATATTTAATCTTTTAATTAACTACATAAAAATAAACTTTCTAATGGTAATGAATGATTTAATTTCTCCGCCACAGAATAAAGACAGGTGCGCTAGCAGTTCATTCAGCTGCACGAGTTCGTGTCACGTGTGCGGTAAGAAAGATTGTGGCAGGCACAGGTCGTCATTCTTAAATTCCAACTCAATTTCTCACATCGTCCTTGTTGATTCTAACTTCATTCATTGCATTCACATTTAAAGTTTTCATTTATAAATTTACATGTTGTCTGGCCCGTGTCACTGCATTGTGGCCTACAGCGTGTCGGAATATCAAATTGTTTCACAAATTTTTATTTTCTGTCATGGCTCTCGAAAGTTTTCCTTTCTCTCCAATTTTCTACATTTCCCTCAATCTTGATATATCATTATGATCTTCGCCTGCACCGATGAGCAGAGCAGCTGGCCAACGTATAATAAGTAATATACTAGCAATGTTGTTTGATGCACCTGACGCTAACACTGGCTCGCACATTATGGTTTACGTGAAGAGTTTAACTTTCGATCTTCTCCTTGGTGATGCTGGTAACTGAGGGTTGGAGTGAATCAAATTTGAATGTTCAAGTTAAATGGGTATAATGGAAAGATTACAGTTTTTGAGATTGGTTTGCTTACAAATATTGGAATGTTTATTAATATTGATATATTTCAGCGTTTAAACTGTTCAACTTCTTCGCCATACAAGATATGCATTTTTCAGATATGCCTTATTTTTGAAATGACATATCACATGATCCGCAATTTGCATGCTATACTTGAACATCATTGAACAGATCTGAGCTGAACATACTAACACTGCAACCATGGATAGATGTGAATATTCCTGAAAATGTTAATGAGGCTCTGGAGGAGGTCAGTGTTATCTCAAAGTCATGCTCATTCATCGTTCATCCACTGTTCATCTATCCTTCATCCAATGTTCGTCTATCATTCGCCCAACGTTCATTCATCATTCATTCAATGTTCATCCATCATTCATCCAATGTTCATCCATCATTTATCCAGTGTTCATCCATCATCTATCCAGTGTTCATCCATCAACTATCCAATGTTCATCCATCATTCATCCAATGTTCATTCACCTGTCTATCTATCTATCCATGTCAAAAATATCTTGATTAGCTGGGTCGGTTGTGTGCTTACTACTCATTCATTTGTTAATTTTTTAAAGGGTCGGATAGAAATTGAAAGTATTTTTAAAACGTTTAATTGTTAAAAATAGAAAAAATACTAGTCTGAACCGCAGACGTCATTAAAAATTACACATTACATTGTTGCTGGTTATTGGTTAACGTTCTCCATAATACATCTTGTAGTTAGGTGATTTTCTAAATGTTTTTTGTTGTGAGAGATTTGTCCTTCTCTACTCATAAGTCTGTACTATATTTTTGTTATGTTGCTATTTAAATATATTGTGTCAATGTTTGTTCTCATCACACTCTTGTTACGGTCAAATTATTTTGTTCTTCCTCAATAGTTCTTCAACTTAGTTATAAAGGAATATGTGAACTCCTGGTACAGGTTAGTGATTGGCTGGCTGGTTGATTGATTGATTGTTTGGTTGGTTGGTTACCTGGTTGGTTGATTGGTTGGTTATCTAGTTAATTGATTGGTTGATTGGTTGGTTACCTGGTTGGTTGATTGGTCAATTGGTCGTTCGGCTGAGTGGTTGGTTGATTAGTTGACTTGCTGCTAAGCTGGCTGGCTAATCAGTTAATTGGCTAGTTGGCTTGCTGGTTGGAGACTCGTCGTGATGGTGAAGTTTGCAGTATTTTTTAAAAACAACTTTATATTTGTGTGTGTGTGTGTGTGTGTGTGTGTGTGTGTGTGTAAGATGTCGTGATGGTGAAGTTTGCAGTATTTTTTAAAAACAACTTTATATTTGTGTGTGTGTGTGTGTGTGTGTGTGTGTGTGTGTGTGTAAGACACGAGAGAGATGAAGAATATTCATCATATATATGTGTGTGTGTAAGACACGAGAGAGATGAAAAATGAAAAATATTCATCATATATATGAGACTATCTATAAACGTTAGGGACCTGAGTGAGGACGAGGCGTTGATTGATGAAATAAAAGTCACACTGAGGTTCGCAACGTCAACTGTCCTCAGGAGGTTGAGAAAGGTTGGTCCGTGGAAGGTGAATGTACGACGTGTGGTTGACGCCACTGTGTATGAAGGAGTGTAAGTCTCATTCACATAGACGTCTTTGTGAATGAGGCGAATTTTGTCATTGATCCATATGTGATTCGTGTTATGGTGAGTAAATGTGTGTGGTTGATGTCTTAATGAATGAATGAAAATGAATGAATGAAAATGAATGAATGAATGAAAATGAATGACTGAATGAATGAATGCATATATTTATGTATGTATGTGATTGTTTTATTGAAAACAAAATTGTTGTTGAGCAATGTAGATGCAGCGCTGTCGAAAAGCATTTTTCTTTATTGTGTGAACATTTCACTAATTTTCACGTTAATGTCAACAACAACAATGATGTTGGCCATTACCACCAGGTTGATTTGGCGAGCTTCATCTCAGGGAAGGTACTCAAGTTGTCCATGAAGCATCTGCATTGTTGCCTGAAAGTCCTCAGAAGAGGTAGGCGATCAACTTGCTACTTGCTTCGTCAACTTAATGAAGTGTCGCATTTACGTATCACTTTATTTTGTTTATATTATTGTATTATCTGCCTTCTACTTTATTATGCCATTGTCCTATTTGGAGATGTTTGAAACATTTTGAATAGTTTTAATGGAAATTTAATAATTTTTTAAATACTGTCGCTACTAATCATTGTCGTTTTTAAAATTGGTTGCAAAGACTTGATATAATTCACAATTGATTCGTTAGTTTGTATTGGAAATGTACTTACTGTCGATTGCAAATTTAATGCTTGTCAAGAGTTGAAATTAGCTGAAGAGAAGAATGTGTCGTCAGATCAAACAACTTCATCATCATCAACAGCACCAGTTCCATCATCATTACCATCATCTTCTTTGTTGCAACCACCGTCGTCATTGCAACAGACACCCAAATCATCATCACCACTACCACCATCATCATCACAACCACATTCGCCATCATCGCAGTTATCTTCCACATCACCATCGTCATCATCGTTACTTTCCTCGTTTCATGAGAATATGATTCAACATTTGGAACAGCTTACACTTGAGTCCTTTGGTAGGCTAATTTTTATTTTTATTTTTTCATTTAAATAATTTTATTTAAAACCAAATTATTGCTCTACATATTTATATGTTTACAACACACGTTTAGACGACATTTTTCCCGAGATCGGGGGTTGCCGTTTGGCTACCTATGATGAAACCGAAATACCCCTCGACGCCATCCACATCTGTCACTCGCCTCAGTATCACGCAACCCCGCTTTCACCCTGTCCTTCTCCACCTGCTCTCTCCATCCCAATCGCGGACGACCCCTTCCTACCACTCCTTCAACCTCGAACTCTAACGTTCGCCTAATCCCGACCCTTTCATCCCTTCTCAACACATGTCCATACCACCGCAATCTCGATCTCCTTATCAATGTCACAATGTCCTCATTCAGTCCCATCATTGACATCAGCTCTGTACTACTCCTCCTATCCTTCACTTTAACCCCACACTTCATCCTCACCATAGCTCTTTCTGCCCTCTGCAGTACACTTTCCTCCTCTCTCCTCAACACCCAAGTTTCACCACCATATACCATCGCTGCTCTCACACATGCTTTATATACCCTCTCTTTCATCTTCACTGACCATTTCTTTCCACACAATACCCCACCCAGTTCCCTAAATTTCATCCATCCTACACGAACTCTAGCCGTAACTGCGCTCAAACATCCTCCATCCGCGTTCAGCTTATCCCCTAAGTAAACAAAGCTTTCCACTCTTTCAATATAACCACTCAACCCCGTCCTTGCGTCCGTCCTATTAATCACACCATGAACACATTTCTTACATTTGAACGTGCCTTCCACCTTTTTCAGTACCCCCCTCACACCACTACATCTCTTATGCACCCATTTCTGACATCCTATACACAATACCGAGTTAGCCTTCACTCTCCTATCATATACCCCACAGGGGTCTATTTTACTTATCACTCGCTCCCCACCTTCCCCACTCACCATTACCTTCGTCTTACCAATATTAACTTTCAACCCTTTCCTTTCAATAACACTTTTCCATCTGTCAAATTTTAACTGCAATTCTTCCATGCTATCAGCCATCAAATCTCGAATAACAACCCCTCTATTATGTTTCCACACACAACATCCATCACAATTGCAAACAGAAACGGTGATAACACTGATCCTTGATGCACTCCTACCTTAACACTAAAAGCGTCCGACATCCCCCTTCCAACCCTCACCTTTGTCTTTGCCCCTTCATACAGCTGCATCACAGCTTTAACAAGTCTCTCATTCACTCCTTTCTTCCTCAACGCCCATTCAATGACCTTCCTCGGTACTCGATCAAAAGCCTTTTCTAGATCCACAAAACACATGTACAATCTTCGTATCTTCTTTCTATAATTCTCCTGCAACATTTTCACCATGAACAACGCATCCACCGTTCCTCTACCAGGCATAAACCCACACTGCATTTATATGTATGCATATATATATATATATATATATATATATATATATATATATATATATATATATATAATATATACGTTGGAAGGAGACCATGTTTTATACAGTATTGTATGAATTTTACTAAATTGGTGGCTTTAATCAATTTAAAGTTTGTCTCTTCAATTCTCCTTATTAGAATTTTCTGGAAATCAATTAAAGGTTTGCTTTCCAGAAAATTCTAGTAAGGAAAATTGAATAGACAAACTAACTTCATTAATTCCACCGATTCGACAGAATTCATACAATACTGTATATAAATATATATGTAACAACATTTGTATTTTCTCCACTGACTTGAGAAAATGTTGCATCTACGTATTGTTTCATTTTGTTAATATTAAATTATTATTTTCATTCTACTTTGGTCAGAAATGCAATTATTGATAAAATC